CACAGCTGGCTGGCAACCATCACAGCTGACAAGCCAGGATTTTGTGTTTTGTTTTTTGCTTTGGTTGCCGAAGGGCTGGTGTTTGGCACTTCACAGTAAGTTATATATCCATTGTACAGTGATGGAATAGGTTTCTGATATGCTGTATTTGGGAAACGTATTGAAATGTGTATGATTTTATGTAATAGTTTTAATGGCAATGCTTTTTTCAAGTTGATTTGAGTTATCATCATTTTATGAAATTGTATTACTATATGAATTTAGTAATATATTCTAAATAAAACAGTATACTATACACTTAAGAGTTTTACAAAAACCAGTCTATTAAAATCAATGCCTTATGGTTAATCCGGAGTAATTAAAAGGAAATACTTCCTTTCATTTATGAATACAAGTGAAAGAAAGAAAAAATATATTTCATTTTTAGATTATATAAATGGTGGAGAACTTTTTACTCATCTTTCTCAAAGAGAGCGTTTCACAGAGCATGAGGTGCAGATCTATGTTGGAGAGATTGTACTTGCCCTCGAACATCTGCATAAGGTAAGATGCTTCATCTCCGGAGCTTCCCCTTGAACAACCTATTGATTGAGGTCCTGATGCAGCTAGTGTTTACACATGTCACTGTCATGGAGGTTGTTGAGAGCGTACTTCCAGAATGTTACCACTTTTCTCATAGTTCCCTTTTTTAAAAAAAACCTCCTTTGCTATCGTAGTTTCTGGGAGTCAGATCAGGAAGGAAGAACCTGAACGATTTCTTTACTTTCCCCATGAATAAAACCTTAATGTTTTGTTTATTACAAGTATCATTAGAAAAATGCTTTTAATTCTTAAAATGACCTATAAAATGAAGCCACAAGTCGTAATCTGTACTCCCTCAGTTGTGACTTCCTCCATCACGTCTCTGCTGTCCCTGTCAGGGTGTATTTCCTGCGGGGGTTGGAGAATAGCTCTTGCCCCCCTCACGCTGCTTTCTTTTCCATTTGTTTTGTCCCTGACACCCACTCTCCTGCCCCGCCCTGCTGTCCTCCTCCATTGCCTACATGTAGCATGAACTGTTACTAAATCCTTTAAATGGAATTTGTGTCCATGACCATGTTTGAACTTACCCAAATCAACTTGAACTTTTTGTATGTTACTACAGATGCCATTCATCTTGATCTATGAAGTTTTGACTTAATTTTTTTTTGATAATGAGGAAGCATTATTGTAGAAGCAAATAGTCATTATGTAGCCGGGGCTTGTGTGTTTTTCCTCAGGTCTAGGAAGTAATTTTTCCTGAGGCTGTGGAGACCCCAGGACACAGTGTGACTCGAGCCACAGAATTATGGCAGTACAGGTACATCATGAAGCCGCTTTTCTTTGTCTTTTCATATTCAAGCCCTGCCCTAGCATAGGATGAGCGGAGACTGAAGTACTGATCATAGAGCGTGGAAGGAAGAGAGAATGGAAGGGAAAAGGTGAGGAAGAGGAGGAAGTTTAAAGGGATTGGCAGATCCAAGCAGCAAGACAGAGGCTGTGGATCGAGGAGAGGCTGAGAGAAGCAATTCTGGAAGGCCTAGGGTCAAGGAAGGGAGCACCCAGGCCAGAAGAGAACAGAGACTGGACAGGTGGAAGAAGGCAGTCCAGGCAGGAATCATGAGAAGAGTGGGGAACACATGGGGGAACTGGCAGGGGGAGGCCTGCAGAGCAGGGAAGTGGGGTCCACTGAGGTTGCGGACAGACATTGATGCTTCCTTTGGTAGGATTTTCAGTGTGGTGACAAGCTTCATGCTTATTATTTTTGTGTGATTTAAAGTAGTTAACATATTTTTGCATAAGAAACAAATCAAATCCAGGAATAGGCTTCAAAGATCTTTGGGATTTATTTTTTAAATGTCATATTTAATAATGTAAAAATGATGGCAGATTTATTATAAAAACCAGCATAAACATAGCACCAAGCCCCAATGAATAAGATAGGAAATTCAGTTTTTAATTTATGCGGAACTTTAATTCTATTCATTCTGTTTATTAAAGGAAAATCCACAAACATTCATTTTACTATTTAACAGTAGCAAGAAACATGGAAATAGAAA